CTTGCTCTATCCAAGGATATCTGACCAGATAGAGCCAGCCAGTTCTCCAGCCTGCATTGTGGGCATGTGTCCAACCAGGGTTATTAGGAGACTGGAGCAAGACATCAGCCCAGGTCTCCAGCACACAGCTTCATGCATATGAAGTTTTTTTTTTTTTTTAAAGTGCCTTGAGCCCCTTCCCTGACCCTTGCCACTGACTTCTAGTGACTCATCACCATGTTTAAGATCTCTGCTGTTCACACACGTGTTGTAGAATCATTGCCCAGAAAGACAGGCCTCGAGCAGTCAGGCAGCACAGGGTGAACACTGAGCAACTGTGCAGGTGGCTTTGTAGGATGAGACATCTGAGTGTCCAGGTCACCTCTGCTGTGCATTGAAAGGTGGTCATGAGGATTGAGTGCATGAATTCCTTTCCATAAGCGTCACCCTGGCACCTGTGCACAGTAAACCTAGTCAGTGTCACTTCCATGGTGGCTGGTGTGACACATGATCACCAAGTAGGGTTTCCTTTTTGTTTGTTTTTGTGCATGTGCACACATGTACATGATTATATAGGGTTTGCATGCACATGGTACATGTCAAGGCCAGAGGTCAGTGACAAGTCTTCCTCTGTCTCTCTCCACCCTAATTTTTGAGACAGGGTTTCTCACTGGATCTGGAGCTTGCCAATTCAGCTAGGCTCACTGGCCTGGGAGCCCTAGGGCTCCGCTGTCTCCACCTCCCTAGGCCTGGTATTACAAGTACTTACCACTGTACTTGGGTTCTTGGTGTTCGTTTGTTTATGTGAGACTTGAAGGGTTGCTTTCCTGATTTGTTTTATATTTATTTATTTTTGTGTGACTGATATGTGTAGGTGCATGTGTGCATAAGGTGATCAAAGAGTAATCCTCAGATATCAGTTTTTTCCTCCCTGGGTCCCTCCCAGGGATCAAACACAGGTCATCAAGCTTGATGGCAAGTGCTCTTACCTGCTAAAAAAGTCATCTCACCAGTAGTGGTACCACACACCTTTAATCACAGCACTTGAGAGGCAGAGGTAGACGGATCCCTATGAGTTTGGGGCCAGCCTGTTATACAGAGAGAGTTCCAGGACAGGCTCCAAAGCTACAGAGAAACTCTGTCTCAAAAAAAAAAAAAAAAAAAAAAAAAAAAAAAAAAAAAAAAAAAAAAAAAAAAAAAAAAAAAAAAAAAGCTGTCTCAGGGATTGATGTGAGGTTTTCATACTTTCATGGTAGGCACTATACCAGCTGAGCCATTTCCTGCCTTGACTGATTTTCATTTAGGAGTTTTGGTTTGGTTTTTGTTGTTGTTGTTGTTGTTTTTTTTTTTTTAATGGATTCTTGCTACATAACCCCTGAAGGCCTGAAATTCAAGATCCTCCTGTGTTAACCTCCCTAGTACTGGGACTATAGGTGGTCACTACCACACTTAAGCTGGGGGAGGGGAGAGCATGTGTCCCACTTTGTCCCACAGCACCTCTGCAACAGTATGCCCCGTCTGAATGGTTCACTACACATCCTGCTATGCAGGGGACTCCAGACCTCATCCAGATCCTCCTACCACATATCTTTGAACCCCCCACACTGTCTCCTAAGTTGCTTTTTAGCCTGCCCTTCCAGCTTCCTGCCCCCAGCTCTCACAAAGACACAGCAATACCATGGAGCCAAAGAAGCCCTCAATTCAATCCCCAGCGCTGAATAAAGCAGGCATGGTAGGTCATACCTGTAATCCCAGATAGGTAGTGAGTTCAAGGCCAGTGGAAAACGCAAAGGAACGCTACACATGCTAGGTGCACACCTGTTAGGTGTTGCAGGCCTTGCATAGCCTATTGAGAACACAACTTCAAGAAGGACTAGCAGGCAACTGGAGCTGTTTGGTAAGACCTACCTCCCAGAGAGCCACCAGCCCTGTGCTGTCTACTAGCTGCAGGCAGCCAGGATTTTGACCTTGCTGTGGGTTAAAGGACACAAACCTAGGAGAAATCTGTTTATCATGCTTGGGAAGCCTGCTATTCTTGACAGTAGTCAGTGAATAAGATAGATGATCTACCCAATGGGCTCCCTCGCATGGGTGAATTTACAGTGCAATTTCTTCGCTGCTTCTGACATACAAACAGCATTTGCTAGGTTTTAGACCCTGTTGTCTGGTGACCCAAGGGTGAGAAGAGAGAAGAAATCTGATTTACAGGATTCATACTGCCTTAAAAATGGATTCAAGCCATTTCTGCCCCAACACTCATCTCTTTTACATGTCTCACAAGCAGTTTAGTTGTTTTCTTAACCTGATTTTTTTTCCATGCTGAGCACACAACTTTATGAGATAGTGGAACTTTGTACCAATTGAGGACATTACACAGACTTATTGGATTCAATTGTGGTTCCATTTCAAGTTTTGTTCTTTCTAGTCATTCATAAGATATTTGTGTTTTTTAATGTATATCCTACTCCCTGAATATAGGAAAGGTGTTAGTCCAAATATATAGAAAAAATTCTATGGGGAAATGGCTTAGTAGTAAAAGCATTTGCTGCATAAGTGTGAGGGCCTGAGTTCAAACCCCGAGCACCCATTTAAAAAGCCAACTGTTACTATGTGCCTAACATAGCCCCATGCACACTAGGACTTCCTGGCCTCCAGCCTAGCTCCAGGTACAGTGAGAACCTTGTATCAAGGGAATAAGGTAAAAGGTGGTAGAACAGGATACCTGACCTCCTCCTCTGGTCTCTGTATGGGCGTGTATATCTGCACATAAAGTCTTTGCTGTTATGTTTTAGTCAAATAACAGTTTCCTTTTTTGTTCTTTGTCTGGTTGTGTATTGGTTTGGTTTTTGGCGTAACCATAAATGTAATTCGAGGCACTCAACATGCTCAGCAGCAGGTGCTTTGCCACTACACCACATCCCTAGCCCAGGCAGCAACAGTATTTTTGGCTACCTGAAGCTGTGCTGATAATGCTACTGAGGGACTTGTCACAGCTTAAAGGAGCTGCAAACAAGAGAAGGCACAGAATATTCTGCCTTTGGACTCTGGCCAACATCACCAGTCACTCATCTATTAGCCACTGGCAGGATTAGCTATAAATTAGAGCTTTATGTTGAATAGAGACCTTCTTAGGGAAAAAAAAAGTACATTTCAATACAATTATCATCACTCAGACACCTTGCCTGACCCCTCCTACATGGCCTTATGATATGTCAGCCTCAGTGGAAATGAGGAAAGGTGTGCCAAACACTGAATAAGGCCAAAGACAGATTGGGTCTTGTGGATAAGAGTCATTCTCATTTCCTTCTTGATGTTCTCTTGTGTCCTTGGAAATTAAGATATGACCAGTCTTGGTTCTAAATATCCCCCCCCCCCAAACCAGCTCAAGGCAATATGCCAGATTTTACAGGTGATGCTACTAAAGAGAGGTAGGGGGGTTGCTCCTGTGTTTATTTTCTTGTTACTATGACAAGATGCCTGACAGAAGCCACTTAAGGACAGAAAGCTTCTGGCTCATGGATTGAGAGGACGGACACTACCTGTCCTTGCAGAGAAGTCATGACAGTAAGAGCTTCAGCGGTTCGTCACATTGCATCTGTAGTCAGGAAGCAGAGAGACGGATGCTGGTGCTCAGCTCACTTTCTCCTTTCTGTTCAGTCCAATAGCCCAGCCCATGGAATGGAATTGTCCACATAGCCCTCACAGTCATCTCCGAGACTGGCCTTCAGTGATTCTTCATCCTCTCACACTGGCCATATTAACCATCACACTCAGCCAGAAGGAAGGTGTAGCACTTCCCGCTGGGCACCGTCAGTACCCACCCCCTAACAAGACACAGACTTTTCTAAAGCAAGAAACATGCAATGCCTGATGGTCTCCACACCTTTCTGGTGCCAGTACAGTATGGTCTAAATGATCAAAGAGCACAGTTTTCTAAAAATAGGACCACCAAGCCCCTAGGTTGGTGCAGAGCAGGCATGCCACCTTTCTTTGGTATCCTTCTTCCGCTAGCCTCAGCACCTCTGATAGTCTCATAGAAAAGCAATCTGATCCCAGGACTTAAGTCTCCTTGGACCACCACAGAGACCAACAGCTGAGGCATTGGGTCAAGAGTGTACTGCCTATATATATAGGAAGAGTGCACCAGATCTCATTAAAGATGGTTGTGAGCCACCATGTGGTTTCTGGGAATTAAACTCAGGACCTCTGGAAGAACAGCCAGTGTTCTTAACCACTGAGCCATCTCCCCAACCCTCAAGAGTCTTTGTAATCATATGACCATCTAGCCTCATAGGCAACCCTCACCTAAAATGATCTGTCCACACTTATATATTCACGTAGAAACCAGAGGACAATTTTGGTTCTCATTCCATAGGCACCATCCACCTTGTTTTTTGAGAAAGTGTCTCTCACTAGCCTGAATCTCACTGAGTACAGCAAGATGAATAAGCAGTGAGCCTTAGGGCAGCCTGTCTCTGCCTCCCCAGTGCTGGGATTACAACTATACACTACCATGCCTGTCTTTTTAACTTGGGTTCTAGGGATAGAGCTTAGATCCATCCCCATGCCTACAAGGGCAAGCACTTCACCTACTGAGCTATCTCTCCACCTCCTGTTCATATATTTTTGTTCTGGAAAATATAGAAGAAATAATCACATATATTAAACTCAACCCTCAGTCCCTCTGAATTACCAGAATCATGGGGTTTGATTAGAACAAATCATAGCAGTCATAATGACATTTTTTTAGCAAAATGCCCTGATATTAAGCCTTCAGAAACCTTTTATTTGAACCTTTAGTTGATTTTTTTTCTTTGTTGTGTTATTTTTATTCCTTTAATGCAGACAATTATAGGTTACACTTAATGAAAGAACTATAGAGTAACAGACAGTCCTGAGGACTACCACACGTTACCCTTCTGGAACAGGGGATTTAATTAACATTTCCTAAGTAAGTAAAGTCAGTTATGTGGTGAAAGATGACTGTTTTCAGCAGCCATTCTTGTTGTGTTTAATTCTAGAAAGCACTCCAAAGACCTCTGCCAGCTGTAGCCCTGCCCCTGAGTCCCCAATGAGTTCCAGCGAATCCGTGAAGAGTCTCACTGAACTGGTCCAGCAGCCCTGTCCTGCCATTGAGACCAGTAAAGAAGGCAAACCGCCAGAACCCAGCGACCCGCCAGTCTCAGACTCCCAACCCACAACACCGCTGCCTCTCTCTGGACACTCAGCCCTCAGCATCCAAGAATTAGTAGCCATGTCTCCCGAGCTGGACACCTACGGCATAACCAAGAGGGTCAAAGAGGTGCTGACGGACAACAACCTCGGTAGGTCCCCATTGCCGGGTCACCAGTCATCCAGTCATTTCCTGTTTGAAGCCTTGAAAGTGTAAGGGAAGGGGCTGCAGGCTGAGCTAATCAAAAACTCTAAAATCTCCATATTCAAGTTTTTTTTACTTACCACACAGAGTTGTTATATACAAAGCTCACAGAAGAAATTTAAAACAGAAATCTCATAATATTAATATTTTGATTTTGTACTGGGCTACATTGATAACTGTCAACCTACATGTTGGACATGCATACTTTAAAGAACCTGGTCCCAGGGTGTGACTCAGAGGCAGAGCATTTGCCTAAAATTGCCCAATAAGGGACCTGGGAGATGTAGCTCAGTGGTAGAGCACCTGCCTAGGATCCCCAAGTGAGGTGCTGGGGGTGTGGCTTAATGGTAGACCACCTGTCTAGAATATTTGAGACCCTGGGTTCCATAAAAACAAACAAAATATGAAATATATTACAGTGTGAATTCTAGCCTGCTCACTAGAGTACAAGAACCATAGGAGTCAATCCAGGCCTACTCCCAACGTACCTTAGAAGACAGCCTATAAGCCAGAGCAGATCAGGTGGCCCATAGACACCTCTTATTTTAGGACATGCCCTGAAGAGCCTAAATTCATAATGGATTTCAGAATGGATCAGCTCAACCCTGTAGCATTAGGTCACTTCATGGGCATCAAAAAACAAGGTCCACCCGTTTTTCCTAAATGTGCCTGCTGTGGGGCAAGATGTGTGCCCTGTAAGCCACCCCCTCAGTGATGCTGGCTTGATTCTGACTATCACAGGCTGGTGACTCTTAGTAGCTGTGAGGTACCTACCTGGAAGCTTGAAGCCATCTCATTCTGCTACTGTTAGCTCTCTTGCTTTGCAGTACTAAGTTGGTCACCCTCTAATGGTGTCAACCATAGGTCATGTGCCTTGTACATGCTGTAACTAACTTGGGCTCTGCCTGAAGTGGTTTTATGAGGCTCTCTTGTTGCTGAATAGGAGCTGCTGTGGCCCTAAGAATATTAGGAATCTTGTCATTGTTATGTTATCATGCCTCCTCAGAGTTATATTGATCAGTCAGGCCTTCCTGGGCAGGCATGGCAAGAAAAACATCTGCTTCTCTATGAGTCCCAAGTGAAAATGTCGATGAAATGAGCACACTGAGACAGCCTCACAGAATGACTGGAACTGTACAGCAATTTTTGGGAGAGCTGCATGTCTTACCTTCCCCAGGATAGAATAAGACAAGAGGAACATTGCAGTTGAGGCTGGAGAGACAGCTCAGTCTGTAAAGTTCTTGCCATGCAGCATGGAGTTCGATTCCTAAAAACCATGTAAAAAATGCCAAGCATTGAGCCAGACGGTGGTAGCTCACACCTTAATCCCAGCACTCAGGAGGCAGAGGCAGGCGGATCTCTGTTAGTTCGAGGCCAGCCTGGTCTACAGAGTGAGTTCTAGGGTGGTTATATAGAGGAACCCTGTCTCAGAAATCAAAAACAAAAAAAAAAAAATATTTTTAATCCTTGTGTGAGGGAGGCAGGGACAGCAGGATCCTTGAAGTTCACTAGCCAGCTAGTAACCTAGCTGAAGTCCAGGCCAGTGAAAGAACTATCTTAAAAATACAGGGTGAAAGCCAGAAAAATAGCTCATGGGTAAAGGCACTTGCTGTCAAACCTAATGACCTAAGTTCAATCCCTGAAGCCCACAGAGTAGAATAGAAAACCTACTCTTACAAGTTATCCTCTGGCTGATGCGCGCGTGCGTGCGCACGCGCACACAAACACACACACACACACCTAGATAAATAAATGTAAAAGAAAAAATTTAAATGAAGGTAGACTATGCCTAAGGAATGACACTGAAATTGTCCTCTGGCTGCCACATGTGCACATATACACACACAAGTTGCTACTGAGTTTCAGTGAAGTCTGCCAGTGACTTACAGTCTAGAATCAGGCCCAACCATCCTCTTGTTCCCCTGTGTCACATTTATGTCCCCTATGTGCAATGTATTGTCCAAAACAGAACACAGGAAAAAGAAACATCCACTGGGAACAATTGTTATCATTCATTCATAAAAAAAATGAAAATTTAGCTGCTGATTTGAGAACAGCCCAAAGCCCATATGTTCATCGGTTATTGAAATGTGGAAGGATTCCTACACTTGAGTCATCCCCTTCTTCACAGACTTGTCACAAGTCCAAGGAAGCAGGCCGATTACTCCTGCTACCCACTCCCAGTTAGAAAGCATCCTTCCATGTAAACACTGAGAATAGCAGAAAAAAAAAAATCTGCTTTCAAACCACCAAGTTGTAAGATCACAGTTTGGAAGTGACAAACACTGGAGCCTCCTCCTTGGCATCACTAACCAGCTTCCATTCCTACTGGAAAGTTAGTTGGCTTATATCACATGCAGCTAGAGCAGTACTCTGCTGGCCTACAGCACTTCCAAGTGCTACATAGGACCAATTAATAACCTTAAAAAACTTCCAAGAAAGCCTGTAGCCCATCACCTGGGCTTAGCAATCAGAAGTAGTCCCCCTTGGTGACTCTTAAGGCTTCTGGAGAAAGTTATCTGCCTTCCTACAAGACCCTGGATGTAGTTGTGGTCACAGAGTGGTCAGCATCAAGCTGCATCAGGCAACAGAGTTGCCTCAGCCTCCCAAGTGCTAGAATTACAAGTGTGTATGGAAGCTTTTCCGAAAGCATAGTCATTTGTCAATACAGGTAGAATGCAAGTGTATTCTAATTCCCTTGCCAGTGAAACTGTTAGAAGACAAGTGAAAGAAATGTTTCAGTACTGAAGTCCTAGGTCCGAGGGGGAACACCTACCTAGAATCCCCCAGTAAGAGACAGTAGCTTAGTAATAGACTACTCAACTTCCATGTACAAAGCCCTAGGTTCCTTCTCCAGCCTATAAAAACTAAAGAAAAATGTTTCTACAAAATGTTGCTGTAGGCCAGGCCTCCACAGTCCAGACTATGGGCCACTGAACCATGTGTCTAGCTCAGGTTCTGGGCACCTGCTTGCCCCTGTCTGTCAGTGACCATCTCTCGCATCTGCTTTCCAGGTCAGCGCTTATTTGGGGAGACCATCCTGGGGCTCACCCAGGGCTCTGTCTCCGACCTCCTTGCCCGCCCAAAGCCCTGGCATAAGCTCAGTCTGAAAGGACGAGAGCCCTTTGTCCGCATGCAACTATGGCTGAACGACCCCAACAACGTGGAGAAGCTGATGGACATGAAGCGGATGGAGAAGAAAGGTACCTGCCCACCTTCTGCCACCCAGGCACCATCATTCCCACACATCCTTCCTGGAAGCCTTTCCACAGAGATGGAGGGACATGGGTCCCTCATCCTGATCAGGACTCTGTAAAGCAGGGCACCTTAGTTTAGGCGAGTACAGCCAATGAGTAGTAGCTCAAAGGACAAGGGAGACTTGTCCCTCTTTGGGGCCAAGAGTCTATAAATAAAGATCTTGTGACCCTTGAGCATATCACAGTCTGTGGTAATGGCTCATTTGCTGGCTGCCTTTTAGCTCACTTATTACATCTGTTACATCATCTTCTGTGTGTGCCTCAGGCTAGAGGCTTGTGAAGATGGGGAAGAGCTCATTAAGATATGTGTATTGATGGGCTGGGATTGTAACTAGTTTATAGAATGCTTACTGGGCATGTAGAAGGCCTGGGTTCAACCTCCAGTACTGGGGGAAATACAAGAAAGAAAGTACTTGAACCAGACATGATAGTACATACCTGTAAAGAGGAGGCTGGGGCTATCTATAGCCTGGGTGGTAGAGTACTCTCCTAGCTTGTAGAAAGCCCTGGGTTCTGTCCCTGACCCTGGAAAGCTGGGAGAAGAGCTGCCATTGCTGGTACCATTATGTCAAAGGTCTGCCACACTGGGACCTCAGGATGCCTCTTACCTATCAGCAGTGTGCTCTCCACCCATCAAGGGCCACTTCAACTGGACATGGCCCATCCTAAGGTGTGATTCAGGCCATAGCCTCCAGGGTAGCTCCAGGCAACACCACATACTTGGAAAGCCTAGTGACTTGCCAATTTTTTAATTTACTGTATTAAATTTCATGCAAAAAAAAAAAAACACACACAGAGAATGCTATGAAGAAACAATAGACAAGCCAGGAATAGGGCATGGGAGGCTGAGACAGGAGCATAGGCTATAGCCCAGTTCTTAGCATGCACACAGCCCTGGGTTTCATCCCTAACATTCTGGAAATAAAGACAGGAGGATCAGGAGTTTAAGGTCATCTTTGCTACACAGTAAGCCTGAGGAAATCTTATCGAGAAGGGAAGAGGATAGTTCAAGACCTATCAGAACTACTCTACAGAGTGAGTAGACCAGACTGAGCAACTTAGTGAGACCCTAGCTCAAGAATAAGAAATCAAGCAAAAGAAGCTAATAAACAGTGCTGCTGAGTTCAAACAGTTTCCAGTACTTACCCAGATAGTATTAAATGTCCCACTCCTGTCAAAGCCAAGACCAGCCACCGCAGACGTTTACAAGAGGCTCTTTTATCGCCTCTTCCCCTTCCCCACCCCAGATTAGATACTCCAGGCTTTCCATGCCTCCAGCTTCTTCCACGTGGGCTCTGGTGCCATCTTGTGTCACAAAAGTGATACTGTCTTCATGGAGCCCACACCTTGGGGCATCCAAGGTCCCTAAAATGGCTATTAAGCCATTTACTGGAGCTACTAGATAGGGAAGCCTTCACTAACCTTCTCAGGCAACTGGGCACCTGACCTGTCAGTAACACAGTAGGTGCTACTGCTTGGTCCTCCCCTTGGTGCCTGTGATAACTGTCACTTCCTGAGTATCTAGGATAGTGGTTCTCAATTTTACGAATGCTGCAACCCTTAAATACAGTTCCTCATGCTGTAGTGACCCCTCCAGCATAAAATTATTTTTGTTGCTACTTCATACCTGTAATTTTGCTACTGTTACGAACCATAATGTAAATATCTGTGTTTTCTGATGGTCTTAAGTGACCCCTGTGAAAGGGTCACTCCACCCCCAGAGAAGTTGTGACCCACAGGTTGAGAACTGTTAGTCTAGAGGTTGGCTCTCCTCACCTCACCACCCCTCTCTTCCCTTCTCCATCTCTTTCTCATATATATGACAGTCTCTTGTAGCCAAAAGTGACCTTGAACTCCTGATCATACCCCCCCCCAATTTATTAGGTAGCCCAGGCTATCCTGGATTCTTAGTGGTCCTGCCTCAGCTTTTGGAGTGCTGGGATTAGAGACACCCACCACCACATCTGGCTTATGCAGTGCTGGGAATAGAATCCTCTACTGATCTCCATCCATAGCCCCCAGGATGTACCTTCCAATAGTTTCCTGGTGATAAAATAGTAGGTAGAGTTCAGTAGCTACCTAGCATAAAGCTCTCTTCTTGCAACCAAGGACGATGAAAATACCAACTTCTCCAGAGAACAAGAGTTAGAAACAGAAGAAGCAGTCAGGCAGTTATGCAGAAAGTGAGAATGATTAACTTGTATTCTGTTAAAAATGTCAGGTATGGAGACACATATCTATAATCCCAGCACTCCATTAACTGAGTCAGAAGGACCATAAATTCCAGACCACCCTAGGCTACAAATGATAACCAGGACTAGATATTGAGAGAAATGGAGATGGCTCAGTCAATAAAGTGCTTCATTGCAAGCAAGAGGACCTGAGTTTCAGCCCTGGAACACACTTTATTTAAAAAATAAAAATAAAGTGGGGTATGTTGTCACACCTGCTTTTAATCCCAACAGGAAGGCATAGGCAGATGGATCTCTGCAGTTCAAGGCCAGCCTGGTCTACATAGCAACACAGTAAATTCCAAGACAACCAGGGCTATATAGAAAAACCTTGTCCTTTAAAAAAAAAAAAAAAAATGACAGGCATGTACTTGTGATTTCAACACAAGGGAGTCAGAAAGACAAGTGGATCCTAGGGGCTCCTTGGCAAGCCATCATAACTTATTCAATGAGTGCCAGACCCATGAGAGACTCTGTCTCAAAACTAAAAGAAAGGGAGGGCTGAAGAAGCAGCTCGGTGCCTGAGAGCACTTGCTGCTCTTAAAAAGGACCTCATTCGGTTCCCAGCAACCTTATGGCTGACACCTGTAACCCAGGACCCATGGAATTTGACATCTCTAGCACTGCACATGCTACATACTGCCCCACCCTGTCTCACCCACACATGCACATAATTTAAAAGGGATTAGGGTGGATGACACCTGAGGAACATTGTTGGAGGTTGTCCTCTGGCCTCCACACGTGTTATGTACACATGTGCATACACACACATGGCAGGAGTGGGGAGATGAGCAGTGTGACCAATTCCTTGCTAAAGCAATCACAGTGGTTTGGGCTCTGTCTGCATAACAGAGGCACACAACAGAGAGCCCACACAGCATCCCAGGACCTCAATTCCACCACTGCGCTTCCCCCGTATACCTACATGTTCATTCAGGGTACACCTTAAGCAAGATCTCATCCTCCGGATCCACCGCCATCCTGTCTTCATATATGAAAAACTCCTGTCTGCACCATCTGTCAATCACTTTACATTTTCACAAGCCAATGGCTTTTGACCATGCCCTTGTCCTGTCAGCCAGGAAATGTCCCACATGGATGATCTTTCTTTTCAGTCCAGCACCCAGGTATCAAGTTCTTAGACCTCCTCCTCAACTTTGGCCTGACTTTGTTACCAAACCAAATTCTTCCACCTTCCAGATCCTAAACAGACTCCTGATTCCCCAGCCATCCTATATCCTGCCTTTATTTCTCTTCTTGCTCCACTTACCCAGGATGGGTCCCCTGGATTTCTGGCATCCCCTTCTGCTTCTCTGGTTATGGTCCTCTTCTCGCCTAGTATCTTCCACTCCTCCAACCCTGAGTACCCCTGCTATCGTTGCGCTCCAGGCACACTCCTCTGTCCCCCGTAGGCTGCTAAGTGCCTCTGGACTACCTCTAACAGACTACTGCCTTTAACTTCTGTGGGGTCCTCAGTGTTACTCCACATACCTGATGGCCCTCCCCATAGCCTCCTACAGAAAGACATCAGTGGTACTACCATTATCCCATGACCCGATCGCTGTTTCCAACTGTCCTTCCGATTCCAGGCTCAGGATCCTGCCTCAGTCTAGCCATCTGGGTTCCTCTCCAATGCTTTCTCCATTGCCTCTCTCCTCCACTTAGAATTTGTTCCTTATCTTTGTGAGGAACAGTTTGGGACGGAACTCAGAGGCAGTGTGCAGTAAGTTTATTTTCTACCACAGAGCCACACTCATGTCACTCACTAAAAAGTCACTCCTAGCCCTGCACTTACCCTCTAGAAGTCACGTCTTTGCTTTTCATTTCTTCTTTCCTCCTTTCTTTCTTCCCCTCCTCTCCTCCCTCCCTCCCTTCCTTGTTTTTAAGACTAGGTCTTACTGTGTAACCCCTCATGAACCTGAACTGACAAAAATTCTTCCACCTCAGGCTCCCCAGAGCAATTGCCTATGTTTGTAGTTCAGCCTCCCAACACAGATAGCAACTTCACTGGCCACCCTTGCTTCCTTCCTTCCTGCCCAATACCATGTATCCTCTTGTGTTCTATGGGTTTTATTTTCCCCCATATTTACCAAGTACAAAGTCCAGTCTAGTCCTTCCTAACATTCCTCCCTGTGGTGCTAGATGCTGTTGTCAGTCCGTCCCCTCAAGGTTCTTGAGCCCTTTCTATAGGACCACTAGCCCCTGACTGTCCCTCTGGGCCCTTTTTGGCTTCTCCTTGGAAATCTCCTGTGGTGATGTGCTGATGTGCTGGTGTTGTAAGGAGGAGGAGCGGGCTGCGTTCCCAGCGGCCAGCTAGCTTAACCCCTGAAATAACCACATGGAAATTGTATTAATTAAATTGCTGCCTGGCCATTAGTTCTAGCCTCTTATTGGCTAACTCTCACATCTTGATTAACCCATTTCCATTAATGTGTATCGCCACTTGACTATGGCTTACCAGCATGAGTCTAACCAGTCATCTTGGGCAGGAGAATCATGGCGTCTGCCACACTTCCCTTTTTCCCAGCATTCTGTTCTGTCTACTCCGCCCACCTAAGGGCTGCCCTATCAAAAGGCCAAGGCAGTTTTCTTTATTCAATCAATGAAAGCAACACATAGAAAGAAGACCCTCCTACACCATGCTGGGGTCTGTTAGGGTTCCATTTTGATATTACCTTTATCTCAGTCATTGGCTTTCATTATTATTGTCTTCCTTCCCCTTTCTTCCTTTTCTCTCTTTCTTTTCTTTCTTTCTTTCTTTCTTTCTTTCTTTCTTTCTTTCTTTTCCCTACTCTTTTTCTCTTGTCAGGGTCTTACATAGTCCAGGCCAAATATAACTTGAACACCTACCTAATTCTCCTGCCTCCACTTGTCAAGTGCTAGGATTATAAGCATTCACCACCTCAGTTTAGATTTCCATTTTCTTTTTGTGTTTGTTTTGTTTTTTAAAACTTTATTTGTTTGTTTATTATATGTACAGTGTTAGTCTGCATGTATGCCTGCTTGCCAGAAGAGGGCACCAGATCTCATTACAGATGGTTGTGAGCCACCATGTGGTTTGAACTCAGGACCTCTGGAAGAGCAGCCAGTGCTCATAACCTCTGAGCCATCTCCCCAGGCAGTTAGTCGTCTACTGTCTTCTATGCCAGAGCCTATATTTTCTAGATGAACCAACATCATCCTTCAAGATGACCTTGGAATATCCTCTCTTGGAAAGTCTCTCAGCCCTTTCCAAGCTTTGTCCAGTGACCTCCATTAGTGCCCCTCTCAGGTACCCCAAGTGTCCCTGTCACCAGTTTATTCATCAAGCTGGATCTTTCCGCAGCCCTTAACTAACTGTCAGGTTGCCAGAGATAGCTGGGACCTCACATGACATCAGAGTGAGCCTCAGTATCTGCTGAGGACAGACAGTATGGTTCCACTGCAGGGTGTTATTAGAGGTGGTGTTAGATTTAGTTTTGAGTGCTAGGGCTCAAACCCAGGGTATCATATATGCTAAACAATCACTCTACCCCTGAGCTACACCCCAGCTATTTTGTTTTTGTCTTTTTTTCACACTACATCTCAGTATGTAGCCCAGACTGGCCTCAAACTCATGATCCTCCTTCCTTAGCTTCCTCACTGTTGGGACTGCATATGTTGTCCCACCATACTCAGCCTACAGGTTTTTCAGCATCCTGCTCTGTTCCCAGAGCTGAGGCTTTGAACTGGTTTTCAAGCTATCCCTAAGTTCACCTGCTCACTTTCTCTCCCTACAGCCTACATGAAGCGGCGACACAGCTCTGTCAGTGACAGCCAGCCCTGTGAGCCCCCCTCTGTGGGCATTGACTACAGTCAAGGCGCTAGCCCTCAGCCACAACACCAGCTAAAGAAACCTCGAGTGGTGCTGGCGCCCGAGGAGAAAGAAGCGCTGAAGCGAGCATATCAGCAGAAGCCATATCCGTCACCAAAAACAATCGAGGAGCTTGCCACACAACTCAACCTGAAGACCAGCACCGTCATCAACTGGTTCCATAATTACAGGTAGAGCCCTATCAAGAGCTCCAAAGCCTAGACCATGAGAACACACCCAACAGAGCACAGTGTGGCCCTTGGTTCTGAAGGCAGACCCAAGGCCAAAACATTGTTCAGTGTGAACAGCTGGGTAAAGAGGCTACAGTTCCTCTGGGAACTGAGGAAACTTTATTATTGTGCATGTGCATGCATTTGTGCATGCTTGTGTTGACTGAAGGTCAGAGGACAACTCTCAGGTTTCAGTTCTCTCCACCGCCTTATGGGCTTCTGGAGTGGAACTCAGTTTGTCAGATATATGTGCAGAGTGCCTCTATCTGTTGCTATCTCTATTTCTATATGCCTACCATCTTGCCAGTGGTAGCATCATCACTTCAGACAGTGTCTTACTACATAGCCTTGTTTGGCCTAGAATTTGCTACATAGGCCAGGATGGCCTCAAACCCAGAGATCTACCTTACCTCCCAAGAACTGAAGTCAAGAGTCTGTACCACCACATCCAGCCCTAAGGGTCTTTTTTTTAAAGCTAGGAATTGGTAGGATGTCTCAGCAGGTAAAGATGCCTACCACCAAGCTGACTACCTAAACTTGATCCTTGGCCCCACACACAGAAGGAAAGAACTGACTCTTCTTGCAAGCCGTCCAGACTTTCACACATGGCATGTGGCTTTGCCACACGTACCTCAAACACACATACAAAGAGAAAATAAACCATGAACAGATAATTGAGAATTGGCCTAGGTTCCGGTGTGACTTGGCAATAGAGCTCTTGTCTAAAATCCAGTGAGGAGCTGGGGGTGTGGCACAGTGGTACAGCCCTTGCCTAGCATGGACAAGACCTTGTTTAAATCCCCTATGCCTCCCAAACATTCTTTTCTGTACAGCTTTTCTAGAAATTAGCTCTGAGGTTGCAGTGGTATAGCTGCTGAGTAGAAGGCCCTGCATTCTGTCACTTACACTCAAGAAAATAAGCTAAAATTTAGAAGATAATGCCAGGCATGGTGCTGCACACCTTTAACCCCAGTATCTAGAAAACAGAAGGGTGGAAAGTTTGAGTCTAGTCTGGGATACAGAGTAAGACCCTATCTCCAAAAGTAAATAGATAAGTGTATACCCTCCAACCAGTACTCAAGCTCCAGATCACTAGTTGTATTTTACCAAGAAAAGTCCTATACACCTACTAAGGAGGCTGGTGTATAAGGTCAGAGATCCTGTACTACCCTTTTGCCACATCCAGCCCATTCACCTCTGCCTTCTCTTACTCCAAAGGTCCTGTAAGAATTTGCATGGTGGTACACACTTGTAAACCTAACTCGGGAGGCTGAGGTAGTAGTTCTAGCCCAACCTGGCCTAGATACTAAAGCCTTGTCTGAGAAAGAAAGAAGCTTGAGAGCAAACAAACTCAAAAGCCCACACTTATTTATCTAAGTTGTGTAGCTAGTAATTGGCAGAGACATACTTGCATGCAATTTATAAGATTTAGCTTAGCTACCCATTTAACCTGTCATCTCCTGACTGGGCAGAACAGAACTGGGTGCTCACCCCACTGGTATCCTTGATGTCACAAGGCTTGAAAATCGATTATGAGCAGAGCCACCTTCCCATCACAGCACCAGGGACTGGGCCTCCAGTTTCCAAGTTCCTGAAACTACCCTAGGAAAGCTATTATGCCTGGATCTTCCTGGGGACCTATCAGAACCTCACAGCTCTAAGGACTTCAGGACAGGGACTGTAGAGATGCTCAGCAGTAGAGCACTGGCTGCTCCTCCAGAGGACCCAGGTTCAGATCCTAGCACCCACATGGTGGCTCATAGCCATCTGTGACTCCAGTTCCTGGGGATCTAACACTCTCTTCTGGCCTCCATGGGCACCAGGCATGCATGTGGTACACATACATACATGTAGGTAACACACAAGAAAATGTAATTTAAAAAGCTGGGCAAAGTGGCCTTTAATACTGGGGAGGCAGAGGTAAGTGGAGTTCTATGAGTTAAGACCAATCTGGTCTCCATAGTAAGTTACAAGACAGCCAGAGCAGTGTAGAGAGACCCATTCTCAATAAATAAACAAATGAATGAATGAACTTTTAGGATGAGGTTCTGATTTCACTCTAGCAAAAACATTTAACTATGGACCAGGTAAACAACTGCCCCAAGGTTCTCATATGTTTAGCCAAACCACATCCCCTCAATCAAGCCTAAGACAGGTCTATAACCTCAGCTATTCAGGAAGATAATGAAAGAAGGTTTACAGTTTAAGGCCAGCCTGGGCTACAGAGTAAGTTCAATGGAAACTTGGAAAGACCGTGTCTTAAAATTTAAAAGTCCGTAGGGTAGTAGTGGCGCATGCCTTTAATCCCAGCCCTCAGGAGACAGAGGCAGGCAGATCTCTGAGAGTTCGAGGCCAGCCTAGTCTACAGAGCGAGTTCCAGGACAACTAAAACTGTTATACAGAGAAACTTAGTTAAGCCAGGCATGGTGGCCTTTGGGAGGCAGGGGCCAGCAGATCTCTGAGTTTGAGGCTATCCTGGTCTACATAGTGACTTCCAGAACAGCCAGAGCTATATAGTGAGACCCTATCTCAAAGAAAAAGTAAATATATATA